TTGTCACATCTAAATTTAACCTTTCTCTCTGCTTCCAGACTATGGTTCTCACCTCTTTCCAATAGATTATCCAGCCAGAGAATAAAAAGCTCAGTACCTATAAAATCTTCAGAGATCTGCAGACTAGGATCTTAGCTGATTCAAACCTTGTCCCTTTTTATCTTCTTTGATGTCTGGTTTAACTTTTCTTCTATGCTCCTCTTTCTCCTTTAACCTGGCCATCTTCCCTAATTTCATCCACATATTTCCATTTCTAGAACTCTGTCTCAGTCCCCATTTGTTACCAGATGCATTCCTTGGGTTGGGAGTGTCAGATAAGCTAAAAGATGCTTGAGAAAAGGGAGTGGTACATCAGCAGACAACACCTCTGAAATAGTCATGCTGCAGACCTGTTTTGCTGCAGTCTCTTTCCTGGGAGACATCTGAAGGGACCTAGCTCCCTGATGCTCTGTCCACCTCTCTGTCACTCAGTGTGCATCCTGAAGGCCCTTTGTAAAATGTTCTGAAGAAATTGTGGTGCTTTTAGATTATTTTCCCTGGTGAATCTTGTCATATGTACACAGCATGAATCTACAACCACCAAAGGGAATATTCTCATGAAGGTCTAAGGAACCTGGTGCTTAAAGGAGACATGAGTAAGTGTCTCTCCACCATTCTATGTACCCTTTGCTATGTATGTCCCTCCAAAATGCATTCAGGTTCATGAGGCATACATATGAGTGCGGTGGTTATTAAGAAAAAAAAAATCCTTTTGCTGGAGTGGTTGAGATATATTCAGATGTTACCAACAGCTCAACATCACAAACCACTTTCACATTTATTTCTTACATGACCATAAGCAGCATCTGTAAGGGGACATAATTAACTGCATGAGAAGTAGAATAAAAAATTTTACCACAGTTGTATGAGTAATACAATACTCCACCTATATAGATAACCCTTGCTACAGGCATGTAACAATTTAAAGGGATACTGGATTACTACTGGTTGCTCATAAAAACTGAAGAACAAGTTTCCCACCTAGTTGTATGATCTTTCTGAAGGTCATCATCCTCCTCTTGACTCACTGAAGCCTGGTCCCCACAAACAGAATGTGCAAGTTCTTCTAGAAGTATGAAAATTCACTTGACTTCCTGATTTTATTAGGGTTAAAGCAACTACTGAATTTGGAAGGTATTTGTCTTCTCACATTAGGCTAACAGAGCAATATTTGAGATTTTTTTTTTTTTTCATTTTGGCTTTCCACCATCTCATACAGCACATTCGGCTTCCTGGAGACACCTGAAAATGTTGCATTGCTGATTCCTTGATTCATTGCTTGGACATTTTTCTTTCTCCACTTTCTGTGGCACGTTGCTGGTTTTCTGTCAGGAACTACTGCTGCTAGTGAAGACATTCCTTGCAGATCAGACTAATAATCTCTAAGCCTAATTCACACCTGCTTATTTATAAATATGTACTGTAAGGATAGGGCAGTAAAGGGAGTGCTACAGCACCAAAGCATTCCTCCTCTCACTGAGAATCACGCCCACGAACTCAAAACCATATTAGCCAATCATGTTTTTATTTCAACAATATCTTGAGTGTTTGAGTTGCTCCCCTTCACTCTTCTATGGTAGGAAATAATGCAACCACCAGGGAACAATTCTGTGTTGAGAAGTGAGGAGTGACCTTGCAGCAGAAGAGGCCCCGAGGGCAGACTCAGTGTTGGCACTGCCTGATGACCTGCCACAGCCAGTCTTCTCCTTGACAGAGAATCCTGCCTGAATCCCTACTCCCTCTGAACTTCACCATTCATATACACTTCTGGGTTTTTTCCTGCCCTGGCAGAAAACGGAATACTTTTTGACAATAGAATACTTGAAAGCTTTCTGCAGAGAATACAAATAAATCACTCCCTTAGCTTTAAAATCCCACATCCGGCTTGGCACCAAGGAAGTCAGTTTCTACATCATGCATCAGGCCAAAAAGAATTGTGTCACAAAACCAGAAAAAACAGTGACAGAGACTGATTCTACCTAAGCCATGTGAAGAATTCTTTTGTAACCCCTTTCCTCTGCAAGCCAGTTTTGGGTGTGTCAGAGAAAAGCTTCTCACTAGAAACCAGCATTGTTTCAGTAATTTTTCAGATTAAATGGGAAATATTCTTTTGCTGCATCTTGTGAGAATTACAGAACTGATCACAGTAAAGTAATGCCCAGTTCATAATGCTGAGCAAATTTCTCAGGGCCCTGGAAAATGCCTGTTCTATTTGCATTAGTGAACTGATATCATGACCATTAGCTTCTGCAGATACTCCACAGATGGCTCAGATCTTGCTCTCCTGTCCACATGAGTACAGAGATCTTCTCAGTTGTGATATTTCAAAAATATCTGGATGTTCCCTCACAACAGGGTGTCCACTGCCAAACTCTCCTGGAGGGTGGGAAGTTTGCTTAGAGTCAACCTGAGGGTGGCTGCCCAGTCAGTGACCACAGCTCAGTGGCCACACACATTGAGTGTCTTCCTTGATTACGGGAGGACTCAGGTGCAAGGGGGGTGTGAGTGGTCCTTGGAACTCCACAGGAGAAGTCCCATGAAGGGAAATGGCAGTAACCACCATCACCTGCTGGAGTTCCACAGACTCACAGGTTTTGCACATGATGTTTTCTGTTTACCTCTTTCCACTGGGCTCCGTTCAACTTCCTCGTGGCATCTGGGTGTCAGAAAAGTGACATGCCATGCCTCAGCTATGTGGCTTGGTGCCATTTGTGTGGGTGCTTTTCTCTCTTGTCGCATTGGGGTGACTAGAGAAGATTTGCTTTTCTGTTCTGGAGCCAGAGTTTAAAAAGAAATGTAATTTTTGTCTGCACTGCAAGAAGTGGCTCACCTGTCAATCCCATCTTCTGGAAGGTAACCTTGTGCTCAAGGCCAGATCCATTTCTGAGCGGGATCACCCCCTTTTGCAGTTCTTTGCTGTCAGGGGCTTACTTTCAGCTTCAGCCAGCGGGATAGTGCAAGTAACTGTGAAGAAAGTCACCATAAGGAAATACTCAGCGAATCAGCAGCATTAATAAGACCCAAAGATCATTATTATGATTCAGGAACAGAAACTGAAACTAAGGTAAGACTTATAAAGGCACACCAGTCTCCCAGGAATCAACAAACAAGTCCAGAAATACCCATGGCTGCTGTCAGTGTCAGAGGTAAGTACATTTATGTGAAAGGCAGGCCTATTTCTCCATAAACAAGATATTTACTATAGTTGTATCTAAAGGACTGGAGTGTAGACACAAATGTGTTTTGTTGGCATGAGAATACAGAGGAGTCAGATGTGGATTTGTGTTTTATGTCTTTGAATACATTACTGTATCTTGAGTCTTGGGTCCAGCTTCAAAATATTAATATAATTTTGTTAACCTTGGTATGGCAGGAAGAATTCAAAATCCAAAAGAACTTTTATTGAGAAAAGGTATATCAAAGGCATTTGAAAATGGAGCAATTTAGTTAGCTTATGTATTCATCTATTTTATTTTCATTGTGGTAAATAACTACAATATTCCTAAAGAATCAGAGCAATAAGTCCGTGCAAGCAGTTGATCTTGTCTCTGTTGATGTGGAAAGCTATTTTTTTTCATATTAAAACATAATTTTACGCTGTATAATTCAGAATTTCTCATCTGCAAGACCTAAGCTGAAGAAAAAGGCCTTTAGTATCTTAATTCTAAATAAATTTTAAGAGAAATCTTTATTATATTATGTATAATTCATAAAACAAAAAAGAAAAATGAAAATAATTATTTTAATTTTATATACACTTTAAAAAAATTACCAAATAAAATGATGGTTCCTAGATCCTTAAGTTTCCTATTGGTGGATTTTTACCACCACTTATTTATTTAAATAAATAGGTAGCCTTGATCACTTCAATTGTTTTCCTCTAGACCCTCAGCCGGGAAGGGATGAATAAGTCATGGGGTCAAAGTTGCTTGCCACCTGGAAGATAAAATGTGTATAATCAGGCAGGTCTGTTTTGCCACCCTGTAAAGGAGGGTATCTGTTACCCTCTTTTCTATACCAGCATTTTTTTCCTGATTTTTTTTTTTTTTTTTTTAGTGTTTTAGAAAGTTACATATTAAGTAAAGATGGAAAGTTGGTTGTGGAAATGGCTTTGTCTAGATTGCCGAGATTATGAGTATCAATGAGAAAATGGCTCAAGCTTTGCCTGTCTCATAGAAATGGTTTGGAAGTTTTAAAGGGATAAGACATTTGATTCTGCTCTTTGATTAGTCAGGGAAAAGCAGATGCAGCACTGCTGAAATCAGGGAATTTAAACTTGAGTGTTCACACAATCAATGATAATGTGCTAAACTGAGCAAGGATTCGTGTACAAAATATTTTAAACAACCATCAAGTTCAACCTCCAGGTAGGAATCCACATGTCCAGCATCCCAGAGTGCCTATCCTGCTGTGCAGTGATTACTTATTGACCTCTTTTAGAGAAAAGAGATTTGTAAGGGAGTGTATAGAACTGAAAAGGGTCTGGACAGAAAGGGGAGAGGAAATTTTGTTTTCTGACCTGCTATCGTCAGTGATTCACGAATCTTTTCTACACAGGTCCCTCACCCAGAGAGAACACCCAAGGGTAAGAGATGTAGCTCTGTCACTCACTACTGCCTGAGCTACTTGGCAATTTCCAGAGACAGCCTTGTGCCTTGTTTTATTCTTACTATCCCTTTCCTCAATCTTCCTTTTCCAGTTGCCTTACTGCTTTGACTGGTGCTGATCTCTGAGTAGCGATGCGATGAGGTTGCTTACTCACCCAACAGTTCTCAAGGAGGTGCTGGGGGTGTTCTGAAGTTTTCATCAAATTCCAATTTTAGATCGCTAAATCACAGCATTCTTCAAGCTGCTCATTTCTGATGGGAAAAGCTGGGAGTGGGAGTCCAACATCATTGACGTGCTGGGATCACAGAAGTGCTGGGATCACAGTACTGCTGGTACTCTTCTTCAGGTGGAAGATACAGCCAAGAGACTTCCAAAGGAATTATTGGCCCAGACAAAATGGACGGGTGGTGTACCTGCTGTATGAAATCAGGTGGAGAAGAGGTTCCATCTGGAGGAACTGGTGCTTGAACAACCACGAACAACATGCTGAAGTCAACTTCCTGGAAAATCATTTCAATGACAGGCCACAAACTCCTTGCTCCATCACCTGGTTCCTTTCAACTAGTCCCTGTGGAAAGTGCTCCAGAAGGATTCTGGATTTCCTGAGGTCGCACCCTAATGTGACCTTGGTAATATATGCAGCCAAGCTGTTCAGGCACCACGATATCCGCAACCGACAAGGCCTCCGCAACCTGAAAATGAACGGAGTCACCATCCGTATCATGAATCTTGAAGGTAACCCAGCTGCTCTTTGCCTAAGTGTGGATTGAAAGTTCTATGTGCACTCTTAGTTTGTAACACAGGAGATGACTGGCTTTCAGGAGGACTAGCGAGTGCAAAAATGTCACTCTCTTCTGCCTTATTTCTTCCCCAATCCTGTACAGCAGCAGGACCAGCATGGTCATTTCCTCTTGCCAAATCTGAACATGGAGGGTTGGACGTTTCTCTAGCTATCTGCACCTCCGTTATATGCAGTGTAAAATCCTGGGCAAGACAGAACCTGTCCCTCCTAGAATACACATGTAGATCAGCTTGCCAGCTGCATCAAGTAACTGGTTTCCCTTGCTAGCTGGAGAAAAGAAGGAAACTTGTCTAAAGGACACTTTCAGATGATGCATCACAGAAGATGTGTCTTGCACGTGTCTTGCCTTTTTGTGTGTGTATCTTGCTTGCCTGGTGATGCTTGGCTGTAAAAACAGACAAGCAGCTCACAAAAAGGAATGTGAGGAATGTATATTTGAAGAGATGAACCTCAAGCACCTGTGTGGATACTTACCACTGGAGTGTGGAATTATGAAACCCACCAGATCAAATGTAATCTTAAAGGACATTGCTTGTATTGGGGGCACTACCTCTGGGATTATAGTACCAGAGCACTGACAGAAGCTCTGGCCATACTGTCAACACTAAAGTCAATATGAAACTGTTAAATGTTAGAGTGCTCACTCCAAGTTTTCCCTGATCATTGGGATAAGTCAGACAGATTAATGATTGAAGCAACTTGTCTTACCAAAGCTGTGTTTTCAAGCACAAGGCTGCCAAAAGGAAAACCTGACCAACTCTGACTGCATGTCCCACTTCCCTTTTCACTCCTGGCACTTGCTGACTCCTTCTCTCTTGGCTTTAAGCCAGAGCATGCTATTTGTGATAAAGGTTGCCCAAGCCACCACAATGATCAATTTCTCTCTCTGTCAATTCATTTTTAGACATATTGATACTCTGTAGAGTTTTGGTTCCCCTTTCCACTAACTTATTTGTGTAGATATTTGTGTACCCCTTGTATGAGTATTTTCATACTTTACTTTATTCTTACTGAGAAACAAATGACTCACTGACATGTTAATGAAGAAAGAATTGGGCATCCTTTCATCAAGAGTGATTGGGTGTCTCTCTTCTTAGATTACAGGTACTGCTGGAGAAATTTTGTTGCATACCAAGCTGGAGAAGATGATTATTGTCCCCAGAACGTCACTGTATACTTCCTTCTTAATTGCACAGAACTCTTTCGTATATTTTTGGTAAGTAGACACCTGAAGAAAACACCTAGAGCAAAAATAAATGCAAAAAATCCAAGGAAAAGGAGATTTGAATGATCCCAGAAATAGTGTTAGCAGAAATGATGGTAGGAAAAATAAGCATGGTCTTGAAGCTGCATAAGCAGAGAGCCAAGCAGGCAAGAGATTGCCAGAGAACTATGCTGCTACATTGTGCCTCTGTGGCCAGGAGCAGAGAAGAGATTTAGCAGTACTCTCAGATTTTAACTAAGGAAATTATTTCAACCCTTTGCATGAATCAGCTACCAGTTCATTAGCTCGAAGCTTATGGGATCTATTTGACCCCAAAAGCTCCTTCAGCTCTGTAATTATGATTCAAATATTCTCTTTTTGCCTCAAGGCAGAGCCATGGATTTCAGTTAAGTTCTGAGCAAGTTCAAAAGCCCAGATGGGTGGATTTACCTTCAGGATCAGAGTTTACATGTTAGAGTATAATATGACCAAGATCTGCTTTCCATTTTTCTTGCAATCCATACAACTGCAGAAGTTATTTGTACAGCCTGATATCCTACTCAGAAAGAGAAAGTGTTCTACTGAACAGGAGAGAAGACCAGGACTGGAGTAAACTGTGGGGCTCAGCCACCCTTTGTGGGGCAAGCCAGTTCTTGCTTGAACTGATCCCTCTGTGCAGAATGGATGGCAGGAGGTGGAGGAAGGGATGAACAAAACCGCTAGCAGGAACTTAGAGTGACAGACACAAAGTGGTACAGACAGGAATTTAGAGCCACAGACACAAACATAACCTGTTTGAATGATGCTGTGATTGCCTTGATTTATTTCTGGCTGAGGAAAAGGTACACATTACACTTCATTTCAGCTCCATCCACTCCAAACATTACATAGGACTTTCAGTACCTCAACACCTGACCTTTCCATTTCTTGTCTGAGTAAGACATTCAGATGACAGGATATACACAGTCAGTAGTAATGTCCAGTCAATCAGCTGATCTAACAAAGCACTTCATGCAATGCAATGGTTCAGGAGACATTTTCCCCTTGGCTTTCAGCCTTTCTGAGTCTCCTAATGCCCGAGATGATTAAATAATTCAGCAGCTTACGCACGATCAGGTGCATGGTGTGATGCCTGCCAGGAGCTGAGCAGAGCTGTCAGTGAAATGCTCGGGAGCGCTGACAAGCCGTGCTGACTCAGCACGGTTCCTGTACAGTACAGCAGCACAAGGGGAATCTGCCCTTCAGGTCTTGGTTTTAAAGAGCCAGATAACAAATTGCCTGTCCCAGCCAGGCAACCTTGATGGTTTCTGCAGAGTCCTGCTGGCTGGGAAGCCTGCTGGAAATCAGGCACTTGCTCAACTGCTCTGCTGTCACAGCTAAACACAAGCCACCCCTCAAATAAGGTGAACAGGGCCCATCATCAGTAGCTCTGACTAACTACCAGCCCTCCACAGAAGGAATGGGAATGTCTGTGCGCAGCCCTTTTGAACACCCTGCCCTGTTGTACTAATTATGCAGAGGTGTAATGAGGTGAGTGAGTGCTCCAGAGAAATACACATACACACTGTTGCATTGTGAAAAACACCAATCACTTGGTTTTTAAAAATTTAAAAGTTTAATAATAAAAAAATGGTTATAAAGATAGTAATACAATTAGAGTAATAAAGTTTAGAGTTAGGACAATTACAAGACAATAAAAAGCAAAGAATTACAGATGTCCAGATACTCTTGGACACTAAGTCACAAAAAGCATGTCTTGTGAGCAAAGGAATAACCTTAAAAGCAATAGCCTGTTGCATATTCATATATCTCATACATGATGCATAAATTCCTTGCAAATTTAGAACTTTTCTGGTTTTTGTCAACTTCCCCTTAATCCTGGTGATCACATAAAGATGGAGAAAAGGTGGAAGAATGTTTATCTTTTCTGATAAGGAGGTTGTAACTCTTTATGGGCCCCAAGTCACTGTCATCTCTGTGTGAAGAGTTTCTTGATTATCTCATCTCTTGCTGGAGCTAGTAAAAAAAATCCTACATTGCAGAGTTTCTATTTCAACATTATGTTGTAACCTAAAACTATATTTAACACATTACTTAAGATAATTAATACAGCATAACTTTCTAACATTACACATATAATTTTCATTGTAACATTTGCAAAAAGCCAGTCATAGAATATGCATTTTTCACATACATCAAGCCCTGGCCTCCCGGGCAGAAGAAAAACATTGAGGAACCAGAGGGGATTTGGTGGAGTCCCCCTGCAAAGGGCAGGGGATGGGGGCACTTGCCCTTCCAGGAGAGGCTGAGTGAACAGGCTTTCCTTGACCTATAGAGAAGGTGTCTAAGTGGATCTTAGTGCAAAACTGCAGTTTTCCACTACATAAAAGCAATAAAGACACAGCCAAACTCTCCTCGATGCACAGAGAGAAAACAAGGTAACACACACATGCTGCAATGAGGGAAATTCCAACAGGATAGAAGGAAAAAGTCCCCCCTGACAATGGTGCTGTGCTGGAACCTGGAGAGGCTGTTACCTCCATCCTGGGAGACACTGAGAACTTTCCTCTGAGCTGTCAGATCCAGTCTTGGAGTTAGCCATGCTGCAAACGTGGTGTGGTTCTAGAAACCTCTGGGGGGGCCTCTCTAATGCCCTCAAAAATCTGTCTTTCCACAGGATCCAACTCCCTTTCCCCTGCATTCAGCTATGCAAGTTGCCACCTTTTAAATGTTCCTGCTTCTAAATGATCTGACACTTCTGGCGTACATGGCACAGTAAATTATGAAGTGCTACTCTGTTGTCTGGAAAAATGTATCTCAAGGGAGATTATTTAACACACTGAAGGAGGACCAGAGTGATCTCCTGGAACAGATGCTTTATTTTCAAATTCTCTATCATGCTGAAGAGACAGCTTAAGCTTTTGGTATCTTATTTTTAACCTTTTTTTTCTTCCTCCTAGGGGCTTCCTCCACTTCTGGCGAACTGAATGCTAACAGGCATCACCACCATGCTTTCAAGCTCAGTCTGTGCATCAATACAAGACCAGAAAAGCCAGTCCCTGTCAGTCTTTTCTTCTGCAGCCTTGCTAAGTTTCTTGCTGCCACCAGAGAAGACTCCTATCATTATCTGGGCATTGCTAAGTATTGAACAGAACAGAAGGAGAACATGAGAAGCCATCAGGAAGCTTGGATGATGCTCTCATGATGTAGAGACCAGGACATTCTGGTCTTTACAGACCTTTTTGGGAGCCCAGTGGGGATGGAGACCATGCCCCATAATCAGGTCTTCCACATCTGCAGATTCTGCAATCATATTCTGCAAGTGTCCTCTTGAGAGGCCAGCTTGTAACATTTTTCATGCTCTGATCTGTTCCAAAGAAGTAATCAGCCATGCATTCTTGCTTTCATAATTTCTTATGAAGATTACTTTTATGGCTACATGTGGATATTTCAGAATATATTTCCTATTATTAAAATATTTATGCAATACTGTAATAATACTTAATTTTAATGTTTTATTTATGAGTGTAAACTTTATTTATTACTGTAAAACCAGTGTAATAAAAGAGAAGATGTCAACACTGTGGAAACTTTGCTTTTCTTGTTCAGCTCCTTGGTAGACAACCTTCCCTTGTAATTCCACACTCTGGAGACATAGGTGTTCATTGCAAATGGGGAAACAAAGTAAAAAGGTCTCTGCTTTTCCAGCTGGAAACACAGAGTGGAATGGTGAAGTAGGAGATATTGAAAGCTCTGAGCTCTCTCTACTGGAAGAAGGCAAAAAGAAGGTGCAGGTGTGTTGGGTTTTGCAGCAGTTTTGAATTTGAACAGCAAATAATTTAGATAATCTGAATGAATCGTGTGGGGAGCTCCATGTGTCATGATTCCCAACCTCTTCAAGCAGGAGACCCACTGTGTGATCCCACTGGAAATGTGCTGATGCTGGGATCCACAACATGCACAAATGATAACTTGAAGAACAAGACAGGGGCTGGTGGGAACTGTGCCTATCTCTTTGAGTTTACTTATGCTTATAGCATCCTTTGGCCATGCCAAAATCTCCAGATGTTTAGCAGATTATTGAGACAGCCAGAAAAGCTGCAGGCTGAGGAAGCAGCTCCAGTCCCCACAGTGTGGGAGTGTATCTAAGTTTGAGCACAGCTGGCTGGGAAGTGTCTCCTACATTAGTCAAATAAAACAAATCCTGACAATGTATAGCACAGCTAAAGTTTTCTTCTCCCTGTCCAGGGCCTCATACTGGATGTCACATGCTGGCTTTCTGGAGATTATAGTGTTTACTCCTTGTTTCCTTCAGGAGCAATCAAATCACTTGATCAGCATGCAGCTTAGTACAGCAGGGTCCATAACCATTTTCATGCCCAGTGCTCAGCCCTTTCCACTGAAGGCCACAGGACAAACTTTCTCTGGTCTGCTTGGAAGCTTGCCAGTTCCAAGTCAGCCCAGTGAAGTTTTTCACACTAGTCTTGTCTGCCAGAGTGAATTTGCAATCTGCTGTATCTCTGCTGTGCCCCTACTGGCATGTGAAGCCTAGAGGTGGGTCTGCCACACTGGTAGCCTTTCAAGGTAACCACAGAAGGCAGCTGGTCTGCTCTCATCTTCTTCTGGCCCTCTGGGCTGGTAAAAACATTGTGCCAGCTTGTAGAGTGGGATAGTTCTTAAGTGTGAATTAATGACAAGGTTATAGTGAGGACACATCAACACCCTCCCTGAGCTGGAACTTGGGTGCAACAGCAGCAGCAGCAATGGAGTTTTAGCAGTATCTGATGTGGGCTTGGAAGCCTCAGGAGAAACCTGCCTAAGACAGAAGTGTGTGAGAGGTTTAAAAGCCAAAGTCAGAGCCTTCAGAGTACTTGCCACCTTTTGGTGCCTCCCCATTCGCTGCGACCTCTGTGCTTGCAGCAGCTCACTTTCTCCTTCCCCAGCAGGGGCTCTGCTCCCCATTGCTCACATTGTCTGAACGAGGGGGTCTCTTCTCTGCCAAGTCCCTTCGTGTTTCTTCTGTGAACTGAATCCAACTTCCGTCACTGTGAATATTTTACACATATGTGATGAAATAATGACATTTC